CACTGTACTGTTTTGTTGTCATTGCGATACTTTTTTGGGAAACTGTCTCGTCTGCCTCTGTTGCAGTAGATGGAGTTGTGGTTATATTACTTGGCCATATGCTCATATCAGATAACTATTCTGGACCGTAGAGCCACGTCTGATTTAATTTTCCACCTCTGCTGGCCAAATTTGCAGGATTTTCGGATGTGGGCACATATCGCCATTTTATTTCAGGATGTTGGTGTATCTTACGGACACGGTTTGAGACAAACTGCTTATACTGGCCACGTCCAAGGATTCAATGCAAGGCGACAGTGCTGTCTTGCCATGCAAAACTTTGCGGCCGTGATAAATGATCCAAAGCGTTCTGCACATTCTCAAGAAGGTTTGCTGCCATGTGGGCTGACACAAGTTCTAGCCGTGGAGCAGTTAGGCCCTCTTTTGACAGACGACTTTTACCAGAAATTAGAATTTGAGTAGTTCCCAATTCTTGACGAATAACTGAGTACACTGCAGCTCCTACACCTTGTGTGCTAGCATCCCCGAATGCATGCAGTTTTAACGACTTGATTGGTTCTCGGAACCCAGCTTATGATCGCGGAACAGTAACTCTTCCAGCAATCCCATCGATACTTCAAAAAATGGCTTAGCTGTACATCCCATAAGAGCTTCTCCTTTCAGATATCGCGAAAAATTATCTTTCCCTCTAGAATAAAGGGTGATGTAATTACCAAAGGGTCACAAATCTTAACCAATCTACTCAGTACTTCTCGTTTCGTTTTTCCTGAATTCTCTGATGGGATCACTATGGAAATCTCGTCACTTTTCTTTTTCTATAACAGTCCCAAAACGTTAGATTCTCTAGTTTTTGTTCCAAGTTGTTGTTTTGCTAAAGTTTCTTTTCATCATCCTTTTCTTTTTCATCCGCTTTAAGCTCATGGGCATTTGAGTTCCACTTATGCAAATTGAACTTGGAGTCGTTGAATACATTGATTGATTTCCTTTTTCTTTCTTTGGCTTCGTCTACTGTTTGTTCCCCACTAAGCAGATCGTCTACATATATAGACTTCTTCAGTTCCTCAACGATATCTGGCATCTTTCTTTTCCAAGTTTCTAGGTGTTGCTCTAACACTCCCCCAAGTAGAAATGGAAGGCAGGTTAGGCCAAAGACGACTCTTGTGAATCTATATGTCAAGGGTTCAGGTTGACTGTCAATCTTCCAGTGGAACCGTAAGGCATCTATTTCTTGTTCTTTTATCCGGATCTGGAGGAATGCCTTTTCTATATCTCCACAACTCGGGGCTCGGTTACAAATTCAACTACCCCTTTGCTGACTTGTTCCTCGATAGTCTTGGTATACTCACTGGCCATGCCTTCACGGTGTAATCTCTTTACAAGAAAGTTGAGGCGTCGCAAGCTTCCTTCCTTATGGGATGGTAAGAGAGGATGGTTACCTTGCCACAATAGACCAGACTCACATCAACCTTTCGAACTCCTCACCAATTGTTCCTTAAACTCTCCATACACTGAGATCTGATCGTGTTCTGAGTTGTCAGCAAGTCCTAAAACATCCCACCGGCACAACTTCTCATAATCCTTTTGAGTGGTTTGTGTTAGTAGCATATGATTGTGATCACATTCCTTCCCAGGGTACATCTAGAACCATCCCAGCTTGGTCAACTCCGCGATATGTTCGCCATCTTTCACTATTCGGAGATGATTCTTTGTTTTTATTCTGGCATACTCCCCTCCCCCAAGAGCGACATGTACTGGAAACTGAGCCTTCGTGTCACAGTCTTGGATATCAATCCCTTTTAAGTGTGAGTATTTGGAAATCATATGGCTGTATTGTGGTTTTTTTACTGATAAAAGTTCACTTTTTTCCACTTTTATTAAATATACTTCCATACAAAACTCTCTATCGAGTGACTCCACTTTAGTTGCATAGGCCTCTAGACATTCTACACTACTACTAAGGAGCACGTCCACTTCTTTAGTTGTTATGTCAACAGGTTTTTAGGCCAAGGACACTTACCAACCTTGCAGAATCAATTAATGCTCTACACATGATCCCATTAACTTTCACTGTCAAGACTGGAAAGACTCCTTCGTTGGTTTTTGTTGCGGTCATCAGTGTCTTCTTCCCCACTGCTCGGTCACAAAAAGAAGTATGATGTCTTCTCTCGCAATGTTGACATGTTATTTTAATGGTACAATCTGCAGCTCTCTGCCCTTCTCCGGTACACTTGAAACAGCGGCGCTTTTTTGCCAATAGTTGTTTTCTTTCTTTGATATCTGTTACCTTTGAGCAGTCAGCTGATTTGTGATCCTTTGCATCGCAATAGACTTATTTACGCTGACCCAATTTGATGTTGAATAGTTTTTTGCGGAACCGGTTTCGATTTTCTTTCTTTTCTCCTTCACATATAGAATTTCTAGGATTTCGCCTACTCCACAAGGTTAAGGCTTCTATTAGCTTAATATAATCCCATTCATCCCAGTTGGGATCTGTGTGAACCAAGTAGCTTCTTATACCAGACAATTTGTCCAATGTCATTGCAACACTTCCATTGATCTGCTCCAGTTCTCCCATAGTTTCTAAAGACTGTACGCAATAGGTGAGTCTTTCACAGAATTAATGCACCTTCTGTACTTTGGCCTCTGGTATATTGGGTAAGTCAAGAATTTCTTTGGTGTAGTATTTGATCAGTTCTGACTCGTTCCCATACTTAGACTGAAGTATACTTTTTGCTCGGTTATACCCTTCACTAGTGAAAGGTAGTGCTTCTATGGAATACTTGACATGTTTTTCAAGCAACTTTCTCAAATATGAAAATTATATAATTTCGTGCAATGATGCGAAACAGGCAAATTAGAAAAACGTTTTAACTTTTCCTCTAACATGAATTTGATTGATCTGCAAATTCCCTTAAATTGATTGATTGATTTAATTGGTAGAGCTCAGATCAATTTGCAAACACACTTATAGATAAACTACTTGCATTGCTCTTAGCTACACTTATGAAGGTTTTCAATAAGTTTTCAAAACTGCCACAAAAATACCCAAATGCACGAAAATATTTTTCTGCCTTTCTGCTGCCACCTTGGTTGACAAATTTCATTTACAATTGGAAATTTATCAACTCAATCTTCAACTATTTCAGTTGTCCATAAATTGTATTTATAAATAATTATTGCTCATCTTATGATCATTTTATGATCCGTAGATGGAGTCAAAAGAAGAAAGGAATAACTGCTACATGCAGAAAATACTTACAGATGTCGTTAAAAAGAAACTTGTTGATTTATTTATCGAAGAGTGGAACACTCATTACGAAGGATCCCTTGGAGTATGGGAAAATACAAACGTTAGTGGTCAGAAGTTGTTCAATATTGAAAAAACAAAAAAGCCACCTCATGACAAACATATTCTGCCAAATTTTCAAGATGGTGACACCAGTAAGTGGGATTGTACAACACTGTTTGCAGCAATATTGTTTTCCAACTCAATAGGAACAAAAGTTAACACAAAAGTTAGTTCTGCAGTTGATGCACTTCGTATTGTTAGAAACAAATTTATTCATAATAATTTTGGAAGAGTATCTGATACCGAATTTGACAAAATGGTTTGTGATATTGAAAACTCGTTTCAAGATCTAGGATTTTCATTCAATGAAATTAATGAAATAAAAAGTGAAAGAAACACATTTAATTCTTTTCAAGTACTTCCTTGCAAACCAAATCATGGCATTGTTAAACGTACAAAATTACTTAATCAAATCATAGCAGATCTCAATAACTTGCGCAGTACTAACAATAACGAACTGACATATTACTATATTTCTGGTAATCCTGGCAGTGGTAAATCTCAATTAGCCAGACAAATTTGCGACAAAATGTTTAACTCTGTTGACTGGGTAAATAAAACTACATTTGTGATGACACTCGAAGGAAAAGATGCTGACTCTCTCTTAAAAACTTACAATGAACTTTGTCAACGTTTGAACATCCATGAACATTTTATTGAAAATATTTTAAAAAAGGGAGAAAGCAGCGAAGACAGAATCAAACAATTTCATGTCTTGCTGACACAAAAACTGAAATCTTGGAAAATATGGTGGATTGTTGTAGATAACGTGGTTGAACTTCATAAAATTTATCCATTATTACCTCAAGTTGGTGATCATAAATGGAAAAATGGACAAATTATAGTAACTGTCCAAAACACAGATGCTATACCACCAGATGGAAATCTAAACAAACACATTTCAATTAGTCATGGTATGAATGATAAAGAATGTCGTCAACTTCTATCTGTCTATACTGATGTTCATAGTCATGATGAAGAGTTTTTAAAGAATTTGTCAGAAAAATTAGATCGTCAACCATTGGTCCTGGCAAGTGCTGCTTACTACGTAGGTAGCGTAAGAAGTGCAAATCTGGAATTCACGTGGGAGCAATATTTCGATAAGTTGAATGAAGGAGAGCGACAGAGCATGGATGCCACATTTCAAAAGATCAATACAGCATATTCTGGAGGTGAATCAACTTTATTGAAAACTGTTGAGTTGGCAGTACAAAAAAGTACTCAAGAATCCATAGTAATGGAAAAATTTTTTGGTCTTTTCTCGATAATATCTTTCGATCCGTTACCACAAGATATTATCATACAATTTATTAAAAGCATTGATCCACATAAGTCTGCAGAAGATATATGCCTTCAATTAAAGCATTGTTCTTTATTTCTTCAAACGGAAAACAACGACATCCGCCTGCATCGCGTTGTACATGAAGCCATCATAAATTATCAACCTTGGCAGACCTCTTGCAGTAAACAAAAAGAAAATAATTCGACTAAGATGTCTCTACTTGCGTGTCAAGTCGCTTGGGCACTCTATCATTTTAAACACAGAGAAGATCAAATCAAAATAATTCCACATCTAATTAAATTCATAACAAATTCATCATTTAAAATTTCCTAAATAAGTTGATCGATGTAAAGTCATCAAAACAAAACTTGATGAAACAATCTTTAAAATAGCCATTTACTTTGTAAATGTATTAGAAAAAGTTTGCAAGTATAAACAAGCCATCAATTTACGTAAGGATATAATAACAATTCAAACTAGAGCTTTAGGTGTCAATCATGTTGATGTTTCATATTCGTACGACAAGCTAGGTGGGTTGCTTCAGAAGAATGGAGAGTACGAAAAAGCAAAAGAAATTCATGAGCGAGCGATGGAAATTAAAACAAAAGCATTTGGACCTGACCATGTTAATATCGCAACAACGTACAACAATCTGGGTTTTGTTTACAAAGATATGGGAGAGTACGAAAAAGCAAAAGATTTTTATGAACGAGCGATAGAAATTCAAACGAGAGCATTTGGACCTGACCATGTTAATATCGCGAAAACTTACAACAATCTGGGTTTTGTTTACAGTAAAATAGGAGAGTACGCAAAAGCCAAACATTTTTGCATACGAGCGATGGAAATTCAAACAAGAGCATTTGGACCTGACCATGTTAATATTGCGACAACATACACTGATCTGGCTTCAATTCACAACAATATGGGAGAGTACAAAAAAGCAAAAGATTTTTACGAACGAACAATAGAAATTTACACAAAAGAATTTGGACCTGACCATGTTTACATTGCAATAACGTACAACAATCTGGGTTTGGTTTACAACAATATTGGAGAGTACGAAAAAGCAAAAGATTTTTACAAACGAGCAATAGAAATTTACACAAAAGCATTTGGATCTGACCATGTTCATTTTGCGACAACGTACTGCAATCTGGGTTCGGTTTACCATAATATGGGGGAGTATGAAAAAGCAAAAGATTTTTACGAACGAACAATAGAAATTTACACAAAAGAATTTGGACCTGACCATGTTTACAATGCGATAACGTACAACGATCTGGGTTCGGTTTACTATAATATGGGAGAGTTTGAAAAAGCAAAAGATTTTTACGAACGAGCAATAGAAATTTACACAAAAGCATTTGGATCTGACCATGTAAATATCGCAAATATGTACTGCAATCTGGGTTCGGTTTACAGTTATATGGGAGTGTATGAAAAAGCAAAAGATTTTTATGAACGAGCGATGGAAATTAAAACAAGAGCATTTGGACCTGACCATGTTAATATCGCGACAACGTACAACAATCTGGGTTTGGTTTACTATAATATGGGAGAGTACGAAAAGCAAAACATTTTACGAACACACAATAGAAATTTACACAAAAGCATTTGGACCTGACCATGTTAATATCGCGAAACGTACTGCAATCTGGGTTCGGTTTACAGTTATATGAGAGTGTGAAAAGCAAAAGATTTTTATGAACGAGCGATGGAAATTAAAACAAGAGCATTTGGACCTGACCATGTTAATATCGCGACAATGTACAACAATCTGGGTTTCGTTCACAAAAATATGAGAGAGTACGAAAAAGCGAAAGATTTTAATGAACGAGCGATAGAAATTCAAACGAGAGCATTTGGACCTGACCATGTTAACATCGCGACAATGTACAACAATCTGGGTTCTGTTTACAGTGATACGGGAGAATACAAAAAAGCAAAAGGTTTTTATGAACGAGCGATGGAAATTCAAACGAGCATTTGGACCTGACCATGTTAATATCGCGACAACGTACAACAATCTGGGTTTGGTTTACAAAGATATGGGAGAGTACGAAAAGCAAAAGATTTTTATGAACGAGCGATAGAAATTCAAACGAGAGCATTTGGACCTGACCATGTTAACATCGCGACAACGTACAACAATCTGGGTTTGGTTTACAAAGAAATGGGAGAGTATGAAAAAGCAAAAGATTTTTATGAACGAGCGATGGAAATTCAAACGAGAGCATTTGGACCTGACCATGTTAATATTGCGACAACGTACAACAATCTGGGTTTTGTTTGCAGTAAAATAGGAGAGTACGAAAAAGCTAAACATTTTTGCATACAAGCGATGGAAATTCAAACGAGAGCCTTTGGACCCGACCATGTTAATATTGTGAGAACGTACAACATTCTGGGTTTGGTTTACAAAGATATGGGAGAGTACGAAAAAGCAAAAGATTTTTATGAACGAGCGATAGAAATTCAAACGAGAGCATTTGGACCTGACCATGTTAATATTGCGACAACGTACAACAATCTGGGTTTGGTTCACAAAGATATGGGAGAGTACGAAAAAGCAAAAGATTTTAATGAACGAGCGATAGAAATTCAAACGAGAGCATTTGGACCTGACCATGTTAATGTCGCGATAACGTACAACAATCTAGGTTTTGTTTACAGTAAAATAGGAGACAACGAAAAAGCCAAACATTTTTGCATACAAGCCATGGAAATTCAAACGAAAGCATTTGGACTTGACAATGTTAATAATGCGACAACGTACAAAAATCTGGCTTTGATTTACAGTAAAATAGGAGAGTACAAAAAGCTAAACATTTTTGCACACAAGCGATGGAAATTCAAACGAGAGCATTTGGACCTGCCCATGTTAATATTGCGACAACGTACAACAATCTGGGTTTTGTTTACAGTAAAATAGGAGAGTACGAAAAAGCCAAACATTTTTGCATACAAGCGATGGAAATTCAAACGAGAGCATTTGGACCTGACCATGTTAATATCGCGACAACGTACAACAATCTGGGTTTGGTTTACAAAGATATGGGAGAGTACAAAAAAGCAAAAGGTTTTTATGAACGAGCGATAGAAATTCAAACGAGAGCATTTGGACCTGACCATGTTAATATTGCGACAACGTACAACAATCTGGGTTTGGTTTACAAAGATATGGGAGAGTACGAAAAAGCAAAAGATTTTAATGAACGAGCGATAGAAATTCAAACTAAAGCATTTGGACCTGACCATGCTAATATCGCGACAACGTACTGCAATCTGGGTTTGGTTTAGAGTTATATGGGAGAGTATGAAAAAGCAAAAGATTTTTATAAACGAGCGATAGAAATTCAAACGAGAGCATTTGGACCTGACCATGTTAATATTGCGACAACGTACAACAATCTGGGTTTGGTTCACAAAGATATGGGTGAGTACGAAAAAGCCAAAGATTTTAATGAACGAGCGATAGAAATTCAAACTAGAGCATTTGGACCTGACCATGCTAATATCGCGACAACGTACTGCAATCTGGGTTTGGTTTACAGTTATATGGGAGAGTATGAAAAAGCAAAAGATTTTTATGAACGAGCAATAGAAATTCAAACGAGAGCATTTGGACCTGACCATATTAATATCGCGACAACGTACAACAATCTGGGTTTGGTTTACAAAGATACGGGAGATTACGAAAAAGCAAAAGATTTTTATGAACGAGTGATAGAAATTGAAACGAGAGCACTTGGACCTGACCATGTTAATATTGCGAACACGTACAACAATCTGGGTTTGGTTTACAAAGATACGGGAGATTACGAAAAAGCAAAAGATTTGTATGAACGAGTGATAGAAATTGAAACGAGAGCACTTGGACCTGACCATGATAATATTGCGAACACGTACAACAATCTGGGTGGGTTTTAGCAAGATATGGGGGAGTACGAAAAAGCTAAAGATTTTTATGAACTAGGGATAAAAATTCAATTGAAAGCATTTGGACCTGACCTCGTTAATATTGCGCTAACCTACTACAATCTAGGTTCTATTTACAGCGATATGGGAGAGTACAAAAAAGCAAAAGATTTTTATGAATGAACGATGGAAATTGAAACGAAAGCATTTGGACCTGACCATGTTAATATTTGCGATAACGTACAACAATTAGAGTTTTGCTTACATTAATATAGGAGAGTACGAAAAAGCAAAACATTTTTGAATACGAGCGATAGAAATTCAAACGAAAGCATTTGGATCGGACAATGTTAATGCCGCGACAACTTAGAACAATCTGGGTTTTGTTTACAGTAAAATAGGAGAGCACGAAAAAGCCAAACATTTTTACATACAAGCGATGGAAATTAAAACGAGAGCATTTGGACCTGACCATGTTAATATCGCGACTACGTATAACAATCTGGGTTTGGTTTACAGTGATATGGGAGTGTACGAAAAAAACAAAAGATTGTTGTGAACGAGCAATACTATAGAAATTAACACTGAAGCTTTTTAATGCTAGTTGCTACAAAAGCTTCCATGTTTGAGAAAATTTACAATGAGATAGAAGAAAGATGAAATGGATTTGTGGTTTCGTGAATTAAGGAAAAAATTTACACTAAATTCCTAACAACAACAGTTGTATATAAATAAGGTTTAAATATATTCTTAACAATATTCAATACAAACATTTGTATTTTCAAGTTTTCAATAGTCATTTATTTACTGGAACAGTTATTTGCGAAGATCATATCTTCATTTAATTTCATTTAATTTAACAGTTATTTCTATTAGCTAAGAAACTAGTATGGAACTTTTACAGTGTATATGATATAAGTACGTTTTCAATCTATCTACTCTGAAGTTGTAAATCTCCTTAAAATGAGGGAAGTGTTTGTTGAGTTAATTACATGAGAGTAAATCCATATCTTAGAGGAACCATAACAATTTTACATCTCTTTTGTTGAATGCTGAAATGACCAGAAGACTACTTAGCCATATAAGGATGCACTTTGTGCTGTATTCATTTGGCTAACTCATAAAATACATTTTTTGTTTATAAGTATTGTAGATGGGTGAATTGCTTGATAATTGTTAATCGATTCATTATTTCTTCCTGTTTATAGTTGGAATCACTCCCTTAATTTTGTGACACTGTTCTTTTTACAACTGGGAAATATCCGACTAAATGTAAAACCGATTTCAATTCTATTTTCTATTTCGATGCAGGTATTGACTTAACGTGTTGATGGTGAATGTGGTGATCTCATTCTTAATTTAAATTTGACTTTTTTTAGATCACTTTGCAGTAAAATTATTTTTGTAACTGTAAGCTAGAATCTGTTGCGCAAAAAAACGTATTTCAACGTCATATAAGTGAAAGGCTCGTTTCACTGTCCATGTCTGGCTAGCCCGAGAATTAATTATAAAAATACAAAGCATGAAATTCCTTTTATTTATATTTAACTTTTCTGAAATCAGTTTTAAGTAAGATTATTTATGCAGCTGGGAGCTAGATTTAGAGACGCAAAAAATGTATTTCAATGTCATAGAAATAAAAGACTCATTTGATTGTCCATATCTGGCTAGCCCAATATTTAGTCATAAAAAAACCAAGAAAGTGGTTTTTTATGACTAATGAATGAAACGAAGGCAAGAGCGCTATAATCGATTTTCTAGTAAAATTCAGTTCTGATGTGCTTGTTTAAAAGCATTTTTAGTGAAAAGTTTGACGTAATAAATATTAGTACAACCAGTATATTACTCCTTACAAAAGCGTGCGATTTGATGTCACTATAAAATAGTTAAAAAAGCTCTACATATAGCCCCTAAAATTACATGAAAATTGTGCTTTTCAAATGTTAAATATATAAATTTCGCCAATGTTTAAAGTCTTCTTAACTACTGTAAATGACCGAATAGAAATGACCAATACAAATAACCATATACCTCTAAACTTTATTAAGTGTTTTTTTACTCCCTCTTATTGAATTTTAAGTTCTGATGATTTTATATATAACACACGTGAAGTACAAATTTAGTTCCACATCAAGGTCATTTTTTTTTTGAAGACCTAACCAAAATAAAAAATTCCAGCGGAAAAACCTGAACGGTATAAACCAAGACCGAAGTCGTAAGGACTTGGAGAATACTGAACAGGAAAAAACCGCTAGGGATTTTAGCCGAAGTTCCGCACGCCAGGGGACCCGTATAAACAATAAACTTTACTTACTTTTTCAATGAGCCAAGAAACCAAAAACAAAAAGCAAAAGCAAAAAAAACGCGAAATTTTCATATACCCTTCCAAGCCTAACACTTTGTTAGTATTTTCAAAGGTATTATAGATATTGTAATCATTCGTCATTTTAAACGTACAAATAACGAACCGAAGCTGCCATATTTCAGTTTAACTACACGTAATTAAATCGATCACCGAACCGGACAATTTTCTACTTTGAACGAGAAAATTGTTTA